GCATCAAGCAAGTAACCCTAAAATTTTCTCCGCTTTAGCTAACCGCTAATTAGAGTATCACTGGTGATCATAAGCCAATCAAATTGCATAAAATAAAATTCGAAATAAAGCAGACCGAATAGACTAGCATGACGCAGACTCATTGCACGTGATACTATGTGTCATTACGTGTCACGATTATAATTGGTTAATGTTGACTGACGGACAATGGAATAAAAAAACCTTTACATTTAAAATAGGTCATCATTCACATGATTTTTATTGATTCATTGTTTAGACTTCTGAAATTGTTTACGTATAACTACAATGTACATTCTACGATCTAAATATGATTTATTCAAATTTTCTTTGGTAAATGTGTAACACAAATTTTTATAGGTCGGTGAATTTAAATTTTATATAGTAAAATAATAAAATAAAAAGTAGATTAGCGTTAGTGTTATGGGGAAAGTCAAGATACAGATATGGATTTTATCAAACATCTTATAGCCAAATTCACTGCAGTGATAATCACCACCAATAATAAATAGCAAACTTCTTTTAAATTAAGTAAAATTATCAATAATTGGTAATATCATGCTATTATTCACTGCATAATATAAAGACCATTTAAAGCTATGTGGTATTTTTAAATGATTTACTAATCCTGTAATTACATAACATTACATTTCATCTTTTATCGATGTGCTAAAAATTTAATTTAAATGTTATTTTAATGCAAGAATGACATATTAAATTATTCATATTGCATAGGTGAATTGGTACACAAAATCAGAATTCTTATGGAACATTGTGTATGTATATAAAAATAATTGTAATAGCAAAGAATATCGTTGTAAAAATCTAGAAATGGATGTAAAATGCCAGAATAAAACTATTTGCGATAACAATAGTTCAATGATTAAGTGTAAAGCTATTTTTTTTCAATTATCTATTGCAAAAACTTTGTAGATCATTAAAAAAAAAGAAATCTCTTAATTGTTAGACTATTTCTGATTTCTTTACGTAATTACGTATGCATGAGATTATTGGCGTCAGACTGTAAAAGATTAACAAATATATTTATAAGCCTTATGTAATATTGAAGTCTAATCTATAAAAAAAATGCAGAAATAAAAATCAATTTCTTTTTATTTAATGATCTGCAAAATTTACAAAATCGAAATGCATAGTTATCATTTTTGAACATCTCTAATAAATATGTATTGATTCACTTAGGCATTGTATATTATGATATTGTAATAAAGATTGTACCCGAGTGGACGTTTTTATTATAAATTACCCGGATAACCAGGTAATTTAATTATGCCCGAGCAGATGTGTGCCGAAACTTAAAACCAAGTTTAGCCTAAAATTTAAATTATAGTTTAAAGTCTGGCATCTAGTCTATAATACAGTAATATTAGTTAAAATAATTAGCCCATTTTTTAAACGACAAGTTTAATATCTAGTAATATTTAAAATATAAAATTTTATTTTATTGTAAATAAGAGAATGCACCCGATTAAGCTATTCGATAAAAGTGTAGCATCTTTGTTTTTGTTAATTAATGTTTCTTGTGTACTCTTCTTGTATTATTGTACTTGTCTTGATGTACAAGTTTTTAGATCTAAATTTTGTAAATCATACATACGTGCATATGCTTTTCACAAAACCGCATTTATACCTAACGCTAAATAGTATAACTATGAACAAAGTTTAATGCGAAGTTAATGTAACCAGAAATAAGTTGATTTCATCTAATATGGGATAGATCTGTCTTAGAAATCACACAAATGATAGATTATATATGTATAATGATAAGCAATCCCATATCAAACAGTTATTTGTACTTTTGTAGATTATCTTTATCGTTATGTTTGCATTTAAAGACAAACCTGATTTAACACACTTTATAAATATGATATTGAATTATTTGTTTTTTTTTTTTGCTTAATAATTAATATTCACTGCACGTGATCACGCACATTAATCAAATATCGATATGTTTTTGTTTGGGAGTAAATAAAACAAAATAAAGAAATGAATCTGACGAATGAATGGGTTGGTTAAGATCATGCACCCGTATTAAACAAAAAAATTTTCTATAATAGAATAAGCACCAATCAATTAGGCTTCCCCACAAAACTCACTTACCGTTTACAGATGTTTACAGATGTTTATCAACTCCACACATAATGCAAGGATTCGAGTGTCAGAGATATGTGGAACAATATAATTCTATTGTTTATGCAATGTAAAAGAACATCATTTACAAAGAATAATGGGATTTAAAATTGTGATTGTCCTCTTTTTTGACAGGCGCATTGGACATTGATTATGTGTGGAGTTTTGACAGAATTGACAACCGGCTCGGTCGACTCGGTGCAATGACTTTGAATGATTCCATTTTTATATATTCTAACTATATCTATTCCCTACATCAGTGGCACTCCAGACAATCATTCTGCACATGTACGCACGTCCATACGTAACATATTCAAAGTTTGTATTCAATGTGACCTACTACTGATATTTTGTGTAAATTCTCTGATTTTATTTGATTTTATTTCACATCACACATCGTAATTATCATCCTCATTTTTATTATAAAAACGCTCACTGTCCAACTGCTTGAGATTTTAGGATTCTCCTCAAAAATACCACCAAATACCAGGATTCTATAATGTCGTTAAAGTGTGTTGTTTCTGAGTCATCGCGAAACCTTTAAGCCTTTTCGTTTCGTTCTATTTAAAAAAAGATCTTTTACGACTCAAAGCTTATACATATTCGCCTGTCTAGTTTACTTCTTCACTTCTTTTTTGCTGCACTATCGTCTTATAATTTCGACCTTGTTTTTCCTATATATAGTTTTCGTCTTGACTCAGAAACAGCACACATCCCTTTCTTTTTTTCAAAATCTCTCCGTTTATAATTTCGATGTTTTTTTTTAAATAATCGCTATTCATTTCGCAAATTAAAAATCGTTTAATGTCGCAATGCTTTATTCGTTATATTTAACTCTATTACATATCGTATTTCTATATATCGCATTTCGAGAACCTTTTTTTTCTTTTTACGAACTATTTATCACCTTTTGGGATAGTCAGAGCTAAACGCGTCACAAATAAATTGTTCATTAAGCCATTTAAATGTTGTGTGTCGGATTATTTGGGTTGCGGAACTTAAATACTGGCGAGGAAGACACATTTTTATGGTCATTTTGATTTGGTTAACGACTATCGCTATACGTACTACCTAAATCGAGTATACGTCACGTGCTATTAACAATCACTCAACCTGGATTATTTGGTGGTTGTGTGCTGTTCGTTGCGTGTTTAGTAAATATTTATATTTTATACCTATTTATATGTATTTACTGCCTAGCTTTACGTATTAACTTATTTTTATAATTCAGAGAATTCTCACCGTATTGAGATCCTCAACTTCGATCAGTCGGTCTCTTTCACTGATCTTTATTATTATAGACTCCTTTTTCACGTTGCCTAGGGCATTAGCTCTTTCGGGACAAACATAAGGTGGTTATTTTATATGTTTGAATTATCTTTTTTTCTGACGAGATGATTAACCTTTTTCTATTTGTATATATAGTTTGTCCAATGGACTTTCACTTGCCAATTCATGGCTTTTCTCTCTTTTGAGTTTTTGATACTTCTACTCAATTGCTGGTCTCTTCTGCATTCGTATATCATTTTTAAAATGAAAATTATCAAATTACTCAAAAAAAAAATTTCTGGAATTTTTTTTCGGAAAATGCTTCATCGAAGCATATAAATAGATTTCTTTTCTTTTTTTTTTTTTTTTTGTTTTTCTTTTTCTATTCGTATATATTATTGGACACACTTTTATCTTTATCTGCGTTAAATCTTGTATATGTTTTCTCTTTATCTTTTTTTTTATATCTTTTTATCTTTTTTTTTTTATATCTTTTATCTCTGTTTATATCTTTTTTATCTCTGTTATCTCATATATTTTGTACTTTTATTCTCGACTTTTCTTTTTTTTTTTAGTATTTTATATAAATATCTAAAATCACTTTACGAAAATCAAAAAGCTTGAAAATTTTCCATTGCGCTATATCACTTGTAACCGAATAGTATGTGATTTCGGATATTGATTACTGGCCAAATTATGTATCATCTGATTATAGTGACGTTGCAAGTAGACTATAAGTATGCCAATTTAGATTAAATATTCGCTGACTTTGTGAATATTTACTATATGCTACTTCTCAACGAAAAGCATCAATTTGCAAAAAAAAATAATCCGTAACTTTGTAAATCTTTCCTATAGTTATCAAGTTACGAAATTTTTTTTTTGGAGAATTTGTTGAGCGCAGTAGCGATTTATTTGAAAGCAGTAAAGGCTTTTATGCATGTCATGCCACACTAATGAGCGGAGAGTCACGCACATACTAAAATTCACAAAATAAAATCCGTCGCACATACTGAAATTTACAAAAAAAAATATGTGAAGGTAGCATAGCACTAATGTTACGGCCTAAGTCGAAACTTTCTATCGGAGTTAATTCAATACATGATCTACATACTGCATAAATTACATTCATGATATTCTATATAAACCATTATCTTAATTGCATCAAAAAGGTAACTCTAAAACTCGCTCGCTTTAGCCGACCACTTAATATGTTCCTTAGTGTCACTCAAATATTGGCCTGGAAAGCTTAGGTTTTTTGGCCATTTTCTAGGTTTCGCCATTTTCCAAGGTTTCAGAAGTTTCAGAAGTTTCGAGTGTTAACCAAGAAAAAAAAAATTATTTTGCGTTATATCCTAATGGAATTTGTAAAAGTGCCATCAAATTATATTGAATTTACATTAGTCTATATTGTTATATATTTGATGGGTTTTTATACCAATTCATATCATATATGTAAGTATATACGAATCATCTTCAATCTGATAAACCGAATTTCTATCATAACAACGAATGGTATATGATATGCTCTATTTCAACTGCATTTAGAATATTGAAAATTGAATTTAATGATATAACTGCCGTACTAGTAGTCCTAATACCTCCAGATCTTGCACTAATATACCATCTATGGTTACCTCATTCAAATTTAAAAAGAGAAATGCAATCCTTCCAATATCGCCTCTTTGACTAAGCATAATTGAAATAATCATTCCTGTCTTAATTTTATTATTTTCAACATGTATCCCATTTAAATAATTTGAGAACTTGATCCATATTACATAAATGGACACCATGGCTATGTCTTTCTGTAGAATAACCGATTATGAATAATTTAGAATAATGAATAGAGTCTAAGTTTTTTATAACTAAACTTGACGTTAAATTAATTAAGGTAACATTGGTTTATTCTGTTATATGATATATCATTGACCAAAATTGGGTCAATAATATATCATATAATAGAATAAACCAAGGTTGCCTTAATTAATTTAACATCAAGTAGTGCTCCAAACAGGTCTGGTTGGGTCAGGTTATGAGCCAACCTTGATTCAACTCTGAAACCTCAAATAAGGGAACAGTTGTTATAATCTGTAATTATCTTAGACTTCATGTATATAGCTATATAATACATCCAAAAGAAGCTATTGATTTAGATCTTTTTTTCAAGAGCAATAATAAGTTTTGTATAATTTTAGTATATCTTTCATCTACAGATTCTGCAAAACACTATGATATACAAAATATTATTATTAATTATATTCAATCAGCATGTTATCTAAACTTTCATCTTATTATCTTAGGAAAATTTAATATATAGAATTTTATTAATAATTTATTAAAAAATACAAACTTATTAACTTTCTCAATCATTCTAATATATAATATTGGAACATATTTTAACAATACACATTACACTTAGTTTAATAATTCTAGTTATAGTTAAATAAACTACATTTAGGCTAATAAATTTAATATTCAGTTTTTTTTCTTATATAATTTTGACTTAAACAATATTAGTATTTTCAATAATCATCTAATTTTTTCATTTTTATAAACTTTCTCTAATATATATAGCAAACTATTAAAACATTATACTAATATAAGTTGTAGAATTTTTAATTTCAAGATAATGGATTCTAATAAATAGATAGAATTCTTTAATTTTTTCGCAACTAATCTCAAGCTTCACAACATTTTTCTTACTACATACTCTTATAAAAATCTTAAACAACTTGATAAAAATTAAATACTCTTTTATTTATGATACAATACAATGAATATTAAACAAAATTAGTCAGAAATAAAGTTACAATTATTAATACAGCTCATATATCATTTTATTATATTTATTATTTAAAAAATTTAGTTATTTAATTAAAATTACCAAAACTAATAAGTTAGCAATTGATCTCTAAGATTAATAATATAGCATTATGTTTTGAGATTACAAATTACAAGATTGCCAGTTTAAATTCTAGTAATGGCAATTGCAAAGATGTATTTTTAAAAATAAAGAACTACAATACTATAGAACTAAGAATTTAGAACATCCAAAAACAAACTTATTTTTAGAAATAACAAGTAACTATAGTTAAAAAGTTATATAGTAAAAAACACAAGTTAGAGCCTAATATGAAATAACCAAAGTTATAAGATGTAATATGAGACCAAAAAATCTGATACTTATAGATATTATATGAACTTATGACACACAACTAATTCTGAATAGAACCTAGTAAAACCTTCTGATCTTAATAGAAATTGGTCTGATAAATTATTTCTGAAAATTTTAAAAATACTGACTAGAGAAGATTGAGGTTCAGTAATTTTTAAGATTGAGAACATTATGCAAAAATATGTATAAATACAAATTACATCTAATTAATTAATCTTTAATATAATATATATTCAGCTTATTTCTTTATTTAATCATATTGAAAAATAAATTATATATATTAGTAATATTTAAAACAATTATATCATATACATAATATAAAAAACTCACTTTTTCTTTGTTAACAATTATTAAATATTTTTGAAAAATGATATAAAATTCTTGTTTTATATTTTAAATAAATTATCAACAAAATTCTTACTTATTATCATAAACCTATTTATTTTTTTACTATTAAACTTCTTAACTAACTTATTATTAAACTAAATATTATTAAATAACATATTCAAAACTATTTTAAAAACTAAATAACATACAGATCAATTAGTTATAATCTTTATCAAAACTTCTAATAACAATACTATTAATTACAATTATATATTAATTTTAATTAATATAATTTACTTACTAAAACTATCACAATAAAAAAAATATTAAATATAATAGTTTAACTTTTAAATAATAAAGTCTGTATCCTAAAAGACATAAGTTATAAAATGATTAAATATACTAGTTTTATACACATCTAAGCTATTACAATTTTATTCAATTATTATTTTAATTTTGGCCAAGTCTTTAAATAATAAAAATATAATAAAATATATTCTATTTCTAAGTATAATACTTTTAATAAAGATCTTAGTCTAATAAATCCATTATTTTTATTAAATATATCTAAAAACTTTATACAAAAATTATTACAAATAACTCAACTTTGTATTTATACAGTATACTATCCTTTCTTCTTTTAACTATATTGCTTTTTCAGACAATAGTACTTTTATTTTTATCTATATTTTTAATAAACTTATTAGAAATGTATTTTTAACTATAAAAACATCTGATTTTTGTCTTAGAACATAAATAAAACTATAACTCTATTAATTTTTTCTTTTTGAATAATTACTTTTATATTTTAACTGATTTTCAAAACCATAAACACAATAATAAACATGTAAACAAATAGGCATAACTAAGTTATTACTAATTTTAGTTTTATCTTTTTATATTTAGTTTATAATAGTGTTATAGGTAAAAGCCTTCTAAATTTTCACACTATAATGATGACACAGCACAGGAAATCCCTTACGAGTATATGTAGTGTCCAAGAGAGAAGTATAGCTTTTGTTAGACATTGTCAAGAAACTATACTCTTCTTTGAGACAGTTCAGGAAAGGTAATGTAATACTAATAACTTTACTTTGTTTTACTAAGAAGAGATAAACCTTGCCTGTAGGAATTACTCTAGAGGGGGAGTATCAATACAGTTTTATAGTCAAAAGCTATTTATTAAAGTAATAACAAGAAGGGCTATTCTTAGGTTTCTGTTCCTAAAGAATCCCAAG